TTTTGGGAAAAAAACGGAGAACCCGGAGGAAACCCATACAGAATATACAAACGCCACACAAAAGCACCGCAGTCAGACATCGAACCCACTCTTCTTATAATAATTACGGTGCGAAATAAGTTCAAGATACATGAGGCACAAGCGTTACCAGAGCCACCCTGTCACCCTATAAAAGTAAATGGACTTGGGCAGAACACATCGCTCAAAGGGATGATGGCCGGTAATAGAGATCAGTGAGCCAAAGGATAAAACGTCTCCGATAGGATGTCTACCGCGGAGATGAAGCAATTAAATTGGTTTCTGTGCAGGAGCATGAGAGATGGTGACTGCTTGAGGAACCCTTCATCCAACAGTGGGTATATCACGGCTGCTGATAAGTGCGCGTCTCCTTTCTGCTGTGGGTCGTGTGCTTGGCTTTCTCCGTCGCATATTCTCGTTGAACTCGCCTTTTGCCCGTCCAAGGACGAGTGTATTGCAGTAAATCTGAAACTTGCAAGCGAAAAGCAGATCGCGACGTGATATTCATTGCATCAATGCGTGTGCAGTTTGTAAGGGCGCGGTGACACGGACCTATTGCATGTTCATCACGACGTCCCTGTTACTTCGATGTCTCAACAGCGTGACGGAGACCGCGTGACGTCAGGGCTCTGCCTTTGTCGCGAGGGCTGCGAGTTGACGCCGAGGAGAGGGCCCCTCGGTCCCCCACGTGGAGTGACGTCACCCGCTAATGAATATTAATTGTGGAGTGTGTCCATTTGGAGGACGGCACCTGCTCATGATTATTAATGAGGGGGGTCCATGTGGAGGACGTAACATGTTCATGATTATTTTTTAATGAGGGGGGCTGGTCGACGTAGAGTGACGTCACGAGCGTTGCACACAGACATGCTCGGCTCATTATAGTTGGTAATAATAATGGCGGGGGGGGGGGTCCATTTTAAGGACGCCACCTGCTCATGAATATTGATGAGGGGGGCTGTTCGATGTGGAGCGACGTCACGAGTGTGAAGGACAGACATTCCTGGGTGATTATCGTAGGTATGAGCATACAAATATGAGACATCACATTGGCTTAGACAGGACACTCCACGAGAAGGGATTGATGGCTGATGTTTCAGAATTAGAATCCTTATGTAAACTGGAGGAATCCGATGAGCTCTAAAGATATTTTTCACAGATGTCAAGTATGGGCAAGTCAGCACGTTACAGCAGCAAACCATGTTTGACACTGCTGTCGGAATGGCAGTCAAAGCAGAGAATCGTCCGAAATAATACATCCACGCGGGTTGACAGAGCGATTGACATCAGCTCGTATGCAGGTGCGGGGTGGAATTGCCACATCGCAGCGGCTTGTGGAGGACTTCATCCAGCAGTGGATTGACCATGACTGCTACTGATGATTAAATAAAAATACTCAAAAACAGCGGTGTTCTCAACTTTCTTGTTTATTCTTAACTTTCTTGTTTATTCTGTCGACACTGCAGCCAAAGAGCGACTGATATCCGACCGGAACTCCCGCGTTGGTTTCTGCTGTGGTTGTTATATTTTCGAATCCTTACATGGTAACATATTCACAAGCGCGCCTGCATTGGTAGAGTTGAAAAGTTCAAAGTAGGGTTGAACGACCCAAAAACGATCAAACACAGACAAGTGAAACAGAACAGAGCTTGCCGAAACGAACAAAAGATCACAGGGCTTGGCCAATTGTTGGTGCGGCCTCTGGCTGCCTTTTCGCTTGTCTGTGGTTTCCTACACATCCGTGTGTAAATTCTACAGCATTCTGAGATATAATTTGCATGATGCTGTATAAAAAATGATTGTAACTATTATTAAATAATCGATCCTCTTTCATTTATTAATGTAGAACGTAGCACAATTCTAAATTTGGTAACTTTGGTTGATAACACAGGAACAAAATGACCTACTCTTAAATAACTTCAGGGATAGTTAACATCCGCTGTGAGTGAAACGTACTATTTTATGATCAACATACCCGCAGTATTAACCAGGGCAGTCTTCCGGATTCAAACCAACAAAGGGCGAACGCGCTGCCGCTGGGCAATGTCACTGCCCATGATGATGATGGTGCTGGTGCCGATGATGGTGGTGGTGGGAAGAGTGTTTCTGAGCATTTCTGAAGTCTTGGGATGGGAAACGCCTTAGCTTAAACAACATCAAAGGACAAGGTGAGGTTTAGCCTGATGGTGCTGCCGTGCCTCACACATTGCAGGAAGTAACCGCTCCTTGTGAGTCTTTCGGGGATCTTTGGTGGCGGTGAGAATGATTTTGGTGATCATGTCGAAGGATGGATGCTGCTGATGATGGTTGCCTTGAAGATAGTTTTTTTTGTAGATTAATTCACATAAACATATACTGTATTGTACAGGCGCGTGTCTGGTGGGGTGGTACTGTGGTCATAGGGCATTCCTGTTTTTGTATTGTTTTTTGTAACTTTCTGACCTGCCCCTATTGGACATGTGAAAAAAAGCTTCATAGCTCATTGGATTCTTCCAGATCTTATTTATTCACGATGTACTTACAAAAAAATCAGCAAACTACCTACTGGATCTCCTCACTGTTTCGAAGAACAAATGTGACCTAAGGTCTTCGCTCATTTACCAGCTTCACATTCCTTATTGCCGTACAAATACTGGAGGAAGGGCCTTTGCTATTGATGCCCCCAGAGTCTGGAATGCTATCACCAATAAACTGCAACTTGGACCACTACCTGTGGGATCTTCACTCAAAACTGCTCTAGAGGAGTTGTACACCTCTAGCTGCCACTGCTATTCAGAATAGCCTGAAATCAAATGTATCGTTCTGGATGACCGCTGCAAAGTATGATCTTGAGTTTTGATTATAGTGTGCAGATTTTTAAAGTGTATTAAAAAATGTTGATACTGCTACTGATACTGCTGCTGTTATAGAGTGACTCATGCAGCCAGCTATGGCTGCAAAGTTTGGTCGTACATGTTATGTTTTTCGTTTATTGTTAAATTTGAATCACAATTCCTATGATCACTGTTACATTGTTTTTATAGCTTTATTTTGGTGATTTGGAAAATGTGTTGGCTTAGCTATGTTTTTTGTTGTAGTACAGAGTTAGCCTGATAACTTTAATCGAAATTGTCTTATGGTTGTTATTGTTTGACTTGCATCCCACTGGGATTTTTGCACGCAGCGTTGATATACGGTGTTTTTTCTGGAAGACTTTGCAGTTTTTTTCTGGATTTTTCTGTTGCGTGTAGTCACTTTAAGATGTTCTTTGTTAATGTTTTTGTTTGTTGCGGTTGCACCGGAGTCAAGAGCCGCTTAGCTCACAGGGCTATACCTAATAAATGAAACTGAAAAAATTAAACTGTCCATTATAATGTAAATTGCCCCCACGAGTCGTACGGCCAGGGTTCCTCTGCTCGTCTGCGCTGCTGCACCGTTTACCACGCAGCGGGGAGAGCCGTGACGACTCCCATTGCTGTGACTACCCGCCCCCACTGGAAATCTCTTAAAAAGAGCTTCAGAGCTCATCGGATTCCTCCGCTATGAATACAGATTCTAATTCTGACTTCAGTGGCGATAGCGCCATTGCAGAATTAAACGAAGTGACGCTTGATTTGAAGCTTTCGTGATTGCAGGAATTACTCTTTGGTTCTTTCGGTAAAGTCACGTAGAAAGAAAATAAATTAAATAATAGAATACGACGTTTCGATTGCAACACAAGCAACCGTCATCAGGTAGAACTAAAATTGAGAGAGATGCAAAACACAGTGAAGGAAACGTCGTATTCTATTATTTAATTAATTTTCTTTCTACGTGACTTTACTGAAAGAACCAGAGTAATTCCTGCAGTCACGAAAGCTTCAAATCAAGTTTGAACCACCTCTACGGGGAGGATGTAAGTTGTTTTCTCTCTCCGTGTCTGAGGATGTAAGTCTGTGTGTCTCTGTCAAATTTCACACTTGACTTCAAATTTAGCAATCTTTGGAGAACGTAATCAACCAGGCTATGCGTTAACTGTTTGTTAGCCGACTCTGTGTTGCATTGCATATTTCCATTTTTTTTTTCGAAGTTTGTTTTCTCAAACGGCCTATTTATCTCTCTAAAATTTACCAGGCTCTCATTCTCTCCCCTGGCCGCTTCGGGGTGGATTTCCACACATCTCTCGTTTATTGTGAAATTTCGGTCACAGTTCCTATGATCACTGTTACATTGCTTTTATGGCTTTATTTTGGTGATTTCGAAAAGTTTTTTGGTTTGGCCATGTTTGTTGGTTGTAGTACGGGGTAAGACTGATGGCCTTAATCTAAGATGTCTTGTGGTTGTTGTTGTTGTTTGACTTGCATCCCACTGGAATTTTTGCACACAGCGTTGGTGTACGGTGCTTTTTATGGAAGATTTTGCTGTTTTTTTCCTGGATGTTTTTGTTTGCGCATAGTCACTTTAAGATGTTTTCTTGTTCATGTTTTTGTTTTTGGTTTGTTGCGGTTGCACCCGATTCAAGAGCCGCATGGCTCACAGGGCTATACCAAATACATGAAACTGAAAACAATCTTTGGAGATAGCAATCAACCAGGCTATGCGTTAACTGTGTGTTAGCCGACTCTCTGTGTTGCATTGCTTTACATTTCCAAAAGATTTGCTACATTTTGTTTTCTCAAACTATTTCTCTCTAAAATTCACCAGGCTCTCATAGGGCCATTCTATCTTCTTTCCCTCGGTCGCTTCGGGGTGGATTCATTGACATGCCAATTTCTCTGTCCCAGCAGCTGCCCCAGCAGACCCACCTCTCTCTCTGCCCCCCACCTCTCTCTATTTAAGGCCTCGACACAGAGGCATTGTCTCTCTCTGCTTGTGTGTCTGTCTGTGTGTCTCCGTGTCTGTGTTTTGTCTCTCTCTCAATCTTAGTTCTACCTGATGACGGCTGCTTGTGTTGCAATCGAAACGTCGGACTCTATTATTTGATTTATTTTCTCTCTCCGCGACTTTACCGCGAGACGCGCAGAGGAAGTGACGCGGCTCTCGGCCCGGACGCGACGCGGCGCTTCCGGCCGCGCCCGAAGCAGAAGCAGCGACGAGAGCGGAGACGGCGGCGGCGGCAGCAGCAGCGGGATGGCGGCCATGGACGCGAGCGTGGACCAGGCGCACTTGCCGAAGGTGGAGGAAGGTGAGGAGAGCACGAGATCAGGACGAGATCGTGGCCAGCGCCTGAGAGTCGGAGCTCGATCCCCCCCCCCCCCACTTGGCGCCCACTTCCGCGTGCGGAAATGGAGGCCGCGTTTGTTTACAAGGCGAGAGCGTGCGGCGTGAGGGGTGGGACGTGCAGACTGGCGGCCACCTGCGGCGATCCACCGTCTGGATTGTGGGAGGCGGTCGCAGATCCGCCTCTGTTGTAGGAGGCAGTCGCCCTCCACTGACAGCCGTGAGCTGAGGAGCGACGTTCACGACAACGATCCGAGCTGCGGGCGACTAAGAGGCAGCAACATGGCACAGTGGGGGGCACAGGTCGATGTTCTGTGTCCTGTAACCTCTTGCCAAATAAACCTTCGATTCTTCACGTGGCCTAAATGTGCACCTAGCCTGGCACAAGCACTGTGACGACATCATCGCTATTTAGTGGAGAACGGCGGTTGTTTTCTCACTGGTGAATGGTAAGGGTTTGGAAATGATGACACTGAACTCGCAATAACTTTTTACTCTTCCTTTTTCATGTTCAACAATTGTCCTCAATTACACGGTGTCCGAGTCCGTAATTAAGTGTTTTTGTTGCAGTAAAGAAAGAATTCTCTGTGCTGGAGGATGGAGTACTTGCTCACCATCTACAAAAGCAGGAGAGTACGTCTGCATGCAGATACGCATCCACTTGGATACATCCATTATAATTTCAAGGACGAATAGAATCCACTAAATACGAATCGCAGCAAAAATGTGCGTTCATGGATCTGTGCTTGTGGCAAGAGATTGTGTTTTTTCAGAGGTTCGCGATTTGAATCTGGCAGGCCACCCTAGTTAAGTGTGGAGTGTATTACCCGTCAAATACTACGCGCCATCCGCTTCATGGTGAACGTGTTTTTGATCTCTTGACTGCATTAGAAGAAGATTAGAGCATTGTGTGCCGTGTGATGGTCCAAGTTGCCGAAATTAAAACAATACTCGCAAATGCCTGAATTGGGAAGACCTCACAATCGTCGCCCCAAATGTGAACCTGACAAGTGTGGTAACAATAATATAGTGAAAACACGATATTATTATTTACACTGAGACCTCCTTTACCAGTGGCAAAATATAGTAATAGGTATAAAGGTGTCAGTTTTTGTACCAGTTGAAAGGGTAAAAACCTATTACTATATTATTGTTACTACACTTCTGGGAGCCGCGAGGTGATTTGTGTGGCTCAGCAGCCTCGTGTCCTGTTCTCATGCAGTTGAGGATCACTACGCCTCCAACGTGGTGAAGAGCCGCCTCGCGGCGGGCGACGTGCGTTTGGCGCGTCAGCTGCAGGAAGCGGAAGCGCAGCGGCAACGTCTAAATCGGCTGACGATGTGAGTGTAGGAACACGAGTGGAGCCGACATGGGGGAGAGAGAACAGTCGATGTTTGCATGTGAGGGTGGAGGAGAGAGCGCAGTGGATTTCCCAGGGTGGAGTGAGGGATGTCTGTGTGTGGGGAGCTGTAATATCGTGGATAGTGTGCTGCGCAATCAATCCGGTGACCGGAGTTCAATTCCTGCTCACAGCCAAGCCAGTGACGATTATCTGAACTGGTCCTGGGCTTTCTATAGGACGAATCGGCCTCAAATGAGTACTTGGTGTGGTATGCAAACATTGCCATTGGCGAGACAAAGGCGTTTAGGCGTGGTGGTGGCCTCCCACCCCCTTGTATACCGTACTGGCCTTTATAGGTGCTGACTAACAGCACTTGCCTCAAGAGTTTAAGCCTATAATGGCAATCTTTGTTTTTGTGAGGATGCGTGGGGTACAGTGAGAGAGCGAGATGGATGTTGGTGTGAGGAGTGAGAAGAGACGGTGGTGGATGTATGTGTGATTAGGGTGGGTGAGAGTCAGGAGGAGGGAGGAAGGTGGAATGCCTTTCAGTTGATTGAGGGGATGTCTGTGTTTTTTCAGCGAGGAGCGAGATGCTCACGTTGCCATGGAGCTACAGCAGCAGGAAGAGCGGGCGCGCGAGGAGGAGCGTCGGGAGCGAGAGCGGCAGGATGCGGTGGGTGCACGAGAACATACGGTGACACTACAGTCTGAGCACATGGGAAATGATGATCGTGTTGAGCACAAGCCCCTGCTGGAGTAGGCCCTGCACCACCAAAAGTCCCATTGGACCACCCAGGTTTACTCTCGTCCTACGGTGTAAAATTTTACAGGCAGAAATTCGCATCGGCTCAGAAATCGCTTAGTGCGAAACCTGAACTATCTTTATTGCATCCCAGACCGATCGCAAAGATGGATGCCAATCAGTGGTTGCTAGCGATTGCGTCATAACTCCCCCTACATCAGCCAATCAGCTGCCAGGAAAACAATCCTGATGGAATATGGCTGCTGTGACATTATTGCTCCATGCATTCAGTCAGGCTGTGTGATTTTTTAATGCATTTTTGCATGTGCTAGTGCATGTAATTGTTAAATTGTGTTACTTTGCCTGGGAATGTATATGTACGTGAGTGCATTTTCTCGTGTGTTTGTATTGTGTGCCGTGCTGGCCTTAATAGGTGCTCGCCAGAGGTCGCAAACGGGTTTTGATTCCTTACCCGTACCCGGCCGCACCAGGGTCGAAAACGGATACCCGGCTACCCGTACCCGGCCGGGTATCGGGTAGGGTACGGGTACCCGATTGCGACCTCTGGGATGAAGCCATGTTGCAGGCGCAGGTGAGTTGATTCTAGGAACTTGAATTGTGAGAAGAGACAAGACGTTGGGAAATGAGTGACAAACGGTTACTCACCAGTGACTCACGGCCTACCCGTACCCGTACCTGGCCGCACCAGGGTCGCAAACGGGTAGCTGGGTATCGGGTAGGGTACGAGTATCGGGTACCCGGTTGCGACCTCTGGTGCTCGCTAAGAGTGTGTTATAAGGCTATGTCTGTTTATGACGGTGTGTGTCTGTACGGGGGAGTATTTGTATGTGGGTTTGGAGGGGGGGTGTTTGTGTGTTATTTTTAGTTTGTGTGTGTATGTCTGTGTATATTGTAGGGAGTAGTTGTGTATGTATGTTAAACTTCTTTCGCACCGTACATAGCCACCCGCTAACCACTATGCTAATAGTGTAGTGGTTAGCGTGCTGCGCTATGAACCCGGCAACCTTATTTCAATTCCTGCTCGCGGCCACCACCAGTGACAATTATCTGAACCGGTCTTGGGCCCTCCCCTAGGTTTACTCGGCCTCAAATGAGTACCTGGTGTGGTGTGTAACCATCACTGCTGGGGAGACAAAGGCAGTCATGGTGCTGGCCACCAACCCTCTTATACTTTTCCAGCCTTCACTAGGTGCTCGCTAACAGCACTTGCCCCAAAAGCCTGTTAAAGGCTATACTGGGTATCTTTGCCTTTGTGATAATGTGTGTGTTTATTTGTGTGAGGGCACGTGTTTCATGGACGTGAGTAATGGCGGAATTAACGAATTCCCCTTGCATAAATCCCGTATGGAATCTTGGCGTACCCAATTTGTAGAATTGCGTAAGCCGTTTGCTACTCGGACTCTTGGTTTATGCTGAGGCTTGAGTGAATGCATTGAATAATAGTGATGTGTTCAGACATGTGTAGGTTTGACTAGACTAAGCCCGCGATGTAGAGCATTTGTGCCCAACCTGTGGACCACAGAAACTGGTGGACATCAAGGCCATGGGAGATGTCCCGCTGAACTATTGCAGATACTATGATTTATTTATGCAATACACCTAAACTATTTTACTGCCCATTGCACATCTTTTCAGATTAGCCAAAATTTTTTTTTTTAAACCTATTTCTGGTGTGACTGCGTGTGTGACTTCATCACCAGGTGTTGCTTAAGTCGTCCTCCGTCCACCTGGTCTCCGTAGACTACAGAGGGTGGAGAGGGCGACTAAAGCAGCAACTGGTGAAGTCACATGCACAGTGACAGCTGAATAAGCTTAAATAATTAATCTTAATCGAGGCTGAGGAAACCTGACATCTAAATCATTTGCTATTATGGCTTTTTAATTCAAATGTATGATGCTTTTCGAGTAGGTTTAATTTCTTAAAGTGTGTTATTGGTGTGTGATCGTCTGCGGACATTTATTGAGGGTTAACTTCGTCTGTGGGTCCAGAATGGCTTGGAATCCACTGCTGTAGAAAATATTAAAATATTGTATCTCTTTCCCAAGAGTCAACAACTTGCAGGACGTTGTAATCTAAAAGCTCATGCTTACAACGGCAGATATTACCTTTAATGATGATCGTGATTTGTTTTTGATATAGTGCCCCATGTACCGGGGTGTCTCAGAGTGCTTTACATCACGTCTCAAACATTGATAGGATACCTCCAGTGGCCACTGTACTTGTGCGCACAAGGTGATACAACCTCCTGGCCTGCAAATAGGAATTAATCTGCCACTAGTGGGTGTCAATTACTTTGTGTAATTGCAATGTATTAATTTATATTGTCTGACATTTTAGGTCTATAAATAAGAAAATGGACTTGAGAATTCACCGCATACAATGTACACCTACCGAAGGGTGCAGTCATGCACAGAAGGTCAAACACCTAAAGGATTCTCAATATTAATTGTGTTTATTGCCTGAGGCTTGCAGAGCCAAGCTAAGGTACCATTAGGATACTCGGTGTTAAACATTCATTCCTAAAACGTCTCGGCTGTCAATCGCGAATGATGACGACAGGAGACAGCTAGCACTTCCCTGCGCTCTGGTGGGATGAGAGACCAGCCCTTGAAATGTAGATAATAACTGCAGGATTTTTTTTTTTCAATCTACTGAGATTTTACAGATCTATAGTGGGAATGAGCGTCGATTCAACTGAACACCAGTCGAGCTCAAAAAAACAACGTAATGCACGGTGTCTTAAGCAGCATTGCCATTTAATATATTTTTTCTTAAAATTACTTTTTTATGACATAACCAGTTGTGATCGATCTTCTAAAAAACCTTGATGTGGCTCATTAACTTTGAGACCGTGAGACAGACTTAATTATAACACATTCCTGCGGAGGGAGCTGGTAGGAACGTTGGCTTGCTCTGTCAATGACCAGGGTCAACGGCGGCGTGGTGTATTCCGCTAATATGGCCAACTGTGAGGGTGGGCACAAGCCGGCGTGAGTAGGTTTAAACGTTGAGTTTTATAAGAGGCACCACGGGTGACCAACCCCTCCCCACCCACTCCCCACCCCACCCAGCCCCTCCCCTCCCCACCCAGCCTCTCCCCTCCCCACCCATCCCCTCCCCACCCAGCCCCTCCCCACCCTCCCCTCTCCACCAGCCCCACTCCTCCCATTTTTGGATGCACGATGGACGGGACGGACACAATAATCCCCTGTGGCCTGGTGTAACCAGGAGGTTCCTACCAGTAACATTGGGATGTAAACGTGTGTGCGTGTGGATGCAGAGGGTAGCGCGCAGGCTGCAGGAGGGGGAGCGTAGAGGTCGCCACGCAGACTCGGCCGCGCATCCATCCCCAGGTGAGAAGGGCCCCGCATTGATCTCCATACAAGTGGTAGGGGTGCTGACATGGCCGAGCAGGAGCGCTTTGCACTCGTTTACGGAGATTTTCTTTTCGAATCCGACGGGCTACCCTGGTTAATACTGCGGATGTATGAACCATACTGCGGGTGTATTAACCATGATACACTCGTTCTGCTTCGCAGTGCACCTTAGATCCTGTTGTCATTCGAATAAGAGTAGGCCATTGTGTTGGTGTCATGGTCCAAAGTTGCCAAATTATACACAAATAACTTTCATTTGAAAATAGCAATCATCGCCCTCAACTGCAAACGCTTATCAGGACACTTTTCAAAAAGTCTTGTCTGAGGCTTTTCCTTGCTTAACAAGTGTAACAATACAATTATACAAATGCATTAAAAAAAAATCTGTCTTGTTTGTATAATTTTCCTCCATTAATGCAGTTGTGTTCTCTTCATTTACCTAATTGACCATATAATTTGCATAAAATGAGCATAACATTCCTCCACACATTATGCACGAATCTAATATTTCCGAATCCATGTAAATCAATCCGTATATATCATTGAGCACACCCCTGATTTAAAATCCGGCTGGGTGGCTCAGTGGTAGCGGGGAGCAGCTTGCAATTGCAAAGTTGCGAGTTTAAAATTCTGTTTGGGGGGTTGATTCAGTCCACCAACCCTCTGGGGTCAATAAATATACATGCCTTTAGCCCGTTCAAGGACGGCTGTATTGCAGTAAATCTGAAACTTGCAAGCGAAAAGCAGACCGCGACGTGATATTCATTGCATCCATTCGTGTGCAATGTGTAAGGCCGCGGGTGACAGACCTATTTCATTTTAAAGGTTATAATCCCTTGTTCATCATGACGTCCTTCTTACGTCTCAATAGCGTTACGGAGATCGCGTGACGTTAAGGTTCTGCCTTTGTAGTGAGGGTTATAAGTTGACGCTGAGGAGGGGGGAGGAGGTGCTTCGCCCCCCCCCCTTCCATGTGGAGTGACGTCAATGGAGGGGGTGTCCATTTGGAGGACGTCACCCGCTCATGATTATCAATGAGGGATGGGTCCATATGGAGGGATGTAACTTGTTCATGATTATTAATGAGGGGGGCTGGTCGACGTGGAGTGACGTCACGCACGTTACGCACTGACACTCTTGGGTAAATATAGTAGTAAATACGGGCAGTCCTCGGCTTACAAATCTGTTTTGTTCCCGAGACCCATTTGTAAGTCGAAACACTAATACACGTTTTTAAATGCCCACATCGTCAGGGTTATGAAATGTGTACAGTTCAACAAATTTGGAAGCAGTGTTAAACTCCTAATAAGAATAAATATTGTAAAAAAAATATTGTATAGTCAATAAAACTAATATTAGGTAACATAAATAGAAAAAAAACCTGTTTTATATTCACTTACCTTGAGTCCTGTTGCTGGCTTGCTTGTCAGAAGAAGGGCAGTGTGTCCCCACAATTGCACGCACACATACACACACGGAGCACACAGACACACGGGAGCACACCAGACACACGGGAGCACACACAGACAAAGACACGCACACACCCCAACGACAACAATCGTTTGTATGGCCTTAACAGACTGTTGGGGCAAGTGGTGTCAAAACGAGCAGCGCGAAGACTGCCTTTACCGCATAGTGGGAAGCCAACAGTGTTTGTCCTATGGATTGCCTTGCTCCAGCTATAGGAAAGTGGTGTTTCCACCACTGGCTGTAAATGGGAGATGCACTGCCTCTGCTCATTTGAACAGGGCACCACTTTGATTTTTGAATTTTAAATAAGGGTTGCATCTTTAAAGCCCAAAGGCTGACAAAAGACATGAGTGCCTTGACCCTAATTCTCACTTACATAAGATGTGCAGCTGTTACAGCTGGAGTGCATTCTATATGAACTGGCAGTTTCCACCATTTAATAATGAATGTCGTTGTGTTTGGCTAGCTGTCATGTTCATTGAATAATTTGTAGATTAAAAGTTTTTGAGTGTCGTGTTTGCAGTGTAAGTGTGTATGGCCGTGTGAGTGTGTTCGTGTTAATTGCAGTGGTGCGGTTGCACAACACCCGGCACCCTGGATACCCTTGCAAAAGAAGTGTTCCATCTCAAGGGCATTTGAAATAAACAAACTAGTGTGGTGTGGGTCTGTGTGCTTTACTAGTACGAGACCAAGTGGGCTATGTGGAAGAGGGGGTGGTGACTGAGGAGATTGAGCTTGACGATGCGGAGCTGGCAAGGAGACTGCAGCAGCAGGAGGAGCAGGTGAAGCGGCCGAGTGAGAACCTGTGACGACGCCTCATTGGAAACGATGAGGTGGTAAAGTGCCTAGCGGTAGTGTGAACGCTGTTTGTTGCAGCGGTGTTTGTGCTTTGTATCCAGAAGGCCACCCTGGTTGATACTGCTTTGGATATTAACCATAACGTACTTTGCGCTACCTGGTTCACATTGGACGTTTAAGGTCCTGTGATGTCATTGGAAGAAGAATAAGCAATTGTGTGCCAGCATCATGGGTTGCTGCTCCTGACATGGTGATCTGGCGTGACCACTTGAATGTGAAATTGTAGTTGTTGCTCTACACCATACGAAAGAAGAAGAATGGGCCAGGTTTTAAACATCTGTTTTAACAAGGGTTGTAATGTTTTATTTCTTTATTTTAATATCAGCAATTTCTACAAAAGCTTTTGGAGGAGACCCTTGGTTGCTTATGAAATCCCTTGGTTGCTTATGAAATCCCTTGGTTGTGTATTATTTGTTTTTATCCCTTTACGCAAATGCAAGTCTTGTCCTGTTTGCATTTCTCCCCAGAGGGCATGGAAGGCTCACCGGGCAGCCGATGCGGGGCTCAGGGCTGCAGTATGGCTCAGGATGAGGTAAGCAAGTTATCTGAACCAACTTCACATCTCATCTGTGATTTGTGAATCGGCATCCGTTTGCTTTTATGAAAACTTAACAATCTTTTCTCTGTTTAAGTTGCTTTTGGAATGATTTTCATTAGGTTTTTACAATTCAAGATGTATTAAGTATACCGTTGTGTATTGGCAAAGAACTAAGTTATGAATTCGATTTCTACGGCGTATATATTAATGATCGTGGTTTATTTTGTTATACAGCGGCATTCATGGTAGTTGTCTTCTCAAATTGCTGTAGAACTTAACACGCTTAGTTTTGGCACAGGTGCGGAAGCCACAGACAAGCGGCGATTGATTGCCCATGCTCTGGGATCCTATACTGGGCTGTTTGGCCAACTCAAGTGTTTATACACGGAACAATATAAAACACGTGTCTCTGTTTCTATCCCAGGAAATCGCCAAGTTTATCCAAGAGAAGGAACTAAAGAGTCTCAAACAGAAAGAGAAGACATCGGTGAGGGCGAGAGAGAAAGGAGAGATGGAGAAAGAGAGACACAGAGACCCAAGAAAGGAGAGCGAGTGGGTGCGGGAGAGGGAAGCGGGGAGGGAGAGACAAGAGTGGGAACGAGAGAAGGAGGAGCGAGCAAGGGGGGAGAGACACGGTGACCCGCGTAAAGAGATCGAATGGCAAAGGGAGAGAGAGGCGAGGAAGGAGATTGACACTGGTGAGAGGAGAGAGCAGGAGAGGCTGAGAGACAGACACAGGGATCTGAGTAAGGAGAGTGATCATGAGAGGACATATGGAGGCACGGGGATATAGGGAGGGGGGGAGAGAGATGCACGGGGAGAGAACCCGGTAAGGGAGAGGAGAGAGCCTGTGTCTGTGAGGACTGCTGATGAGAGAAGCGGTGGCGATTCCCAGAGAAGACCGCCAAGGTGAGCGCACTTCCTCTCCCCCCCCCCCCTCTCTCTGCTTCCCCTCTTTCAGGTCTCCCTCTTCCTGCTGCTTCTCGCCCTGCTCCCCCGCTCCCCCAGATCTCACGAATTCACTCGGGCAACCAGTTGTGGCCTCAATCACTTATTTGTCATATTACCATGGTTACTGTTTCCATGAGCTTCGCACAATGATTCCTGTAATGTTGGCTTGGTCTACCAGACCAATTGTTTATTCTCATCCACAGTGGGCAACCACCACACTGCAGGTCACAACACTTATTTTGGCTTATTCCTTGCCCTTCTCCACTCTGGAACTCCCCCCCCTCTCCATCATCCATTTTCCCAAAGCTCTTCTTTCTAAGAAATTTGTGTAACCGCCCCTAAAAAAACAATGTAAGGCTATAAGCAATATTGTTAAGCTAATACCTGTGGATATCACCTGCTATGACTTGAATCATAAACATGGATATTGACAAGGAAAATTAAATAGAAACTGACAAGTACACAGACATACAAGGAAGTATGGAGCACTACATGCTTGGAATTACACTGAGAAACACGAACGTGGATTAGAGAATCAATGCAAGTTAGAGTACTGTTAAACACTGGGGATGTCAACACTCGGTAAAGTAGAATAGTACCTGTCAAATAAGATGGTCCAAAAATGTGTAGTTAAATCTTTTTTGGATGGTTAATAACATCTTTCCAATGATTACTCAGTTTGTACCCATCATCACGGTTGAAGTGATGTCTGTGTTTGTATATCTGGATGGCTTCGTGTACAAACCTTTGATGGTAGCCAGAAGGTTTGCAGAGCACCTTGGTCTCGGAAAAGACATCTTATTGCCTTAATAAAAATTGGCTTGGGAAAAAGAAATCACGATATGGGATGCTGGTTGGTGGTCAAGACTAGAGACGGAGTAGCAGCCAAATGGAACAATGCCCAAAAGGATGTCCACTACGGAGATGGAGCAATAAGATGAGCTCATGTGCTGCACCCAGATTGATTGTTTAATCGCAAGACCGTAAGAGATTGTCACAGCCTGGGGATGCCTCCATGTATCAGTGGGAAGGTCATGGGTTGATAATGTTGGTGGGAAACCCACAGTGGTTTTCCTATGGATAGACTCATCTCTGCCATATGCATGTGTAATTTCTACCGTTAACTCGGAGCTTTAAACTGTTGTTGAGCACCGTTTCAACGCTTAATTTAAGCAGGAAATTATTGATGATTTCCTCTTAAGAGGCAGTCTGGATTTCAACAAAACATGAACATTGGCATAATTATTGTGGCTCTGCAGGCCGCCTCCACCAAAGAACATTGCGGAGGAGCTGGACCCGACATTTGATAAGCGACCAATGAAGAGGCCGCCCCGCCCTGCCGCGCCCCCCTCGCACGGTACGTTTCGTGTGTGTGTAGCTGTATGTGCCTGTGCATTGTGTTTCTCTGTGTGTGTCTGGGGGAGCGGGAGTATAGCCGTGAGCGCACTGCAACTAACCCGGCCACCTGAGTTTCATGCCTGCTTACAACCACCATTGATGACGAATATCTGAACTGGTCCTGGGCTTCCTGTAGGTCAACTCAGCCTTAAATAAGTACCTGGTGCAGTCTTTGACATCATATTTGGGAGACAAAGGCGGCCGGGTGCAATGCTGGCCATTTACGCCCTCATGTGCGGTGCTGGCCTTAATAGATGCTCGCAAACAGCACTTGCCTCAACAGTCTGTTAAAGGCTAAAGGAGGGAACTTTGCCTTTGTGATTGCATCTGTGTGTCTGTCTCTGTTTTGCCATAAGCTCCACAAAAAATAAGCACGTGCCCAGGTATTTATCATCGAATGCTTCACCCCCTCTGCTCCTCAAGAGTGATGGGGTAGTTGTGGGGAGAGTGGAGACGTTTTTGTACCTAGCCAGTGTGCTTATGGCAAACTCCGGTTTGGCAGTGGAGGTCTCACTCCGAATCAGACGAGCGGCACCTTTCCATCAGCTGCATAACAAATGTGTAGAAGCTACCTGGCCTATCGCTCCATCCGAAGCTCCGTGTCTTCTCAGCCATAGTTATGTCCTCTCAGCCATAGTTATGTCCTCGCTTATCTATGCTTGCAAAACTTGGACCCCTTTGATGGAACATCTATGTCGGTTTGAAAAATCCAGGATAGCCTGCCTACAACCCACCCTGGGCTTTACCATGAGTTGTGTTCTATTATTTTTTGTTGAACTAGGATCCAAATCGGAAACAAAGCATCCTTGCCTGTAGGATTGGCAGTTCAAGAGCATTGATTTAAGCAAGCTTGACTGCTGATGAGACACTGAATGTTGAAACCTGTCCCAGTTGCTTGTCTTGAATCAATACTGCTAATATTATGCGTTCCCATTTAAGCCGTGCGGCGATGAGTTGTGTAAAAATACTTTATTAAAAATGTATGTGGAGAGTGTGCAGGAGAAATTGTCTGCTCATTTTCTTGTATTTGGTGGTCTCTGGTTTAGGGTGTTTCAAAAGATGGACCCAATTTCAAAGCAGTATACAGATAGTCCCTGAGTTACGATGGTCCGACTTACGATGGCGATAGCGATACGACAAAATTGTAAAATATTTCAAATTTCGCACGGTAGGCAAACGCAGCAGCGTACAAGGTACGATACTGTACGTTGGGACGCTGCCGGGATGTACGCATCTCCCGCCTTTCTATTAAATTGCAGTTCATATACGTAGGCGAAGAATTTACCTTGTATTTTATTGTGCAATAGAGTATTGTAATTAATAAATACATACAGTATATAGTTTATACAGTACAGTACTGTAAATTGCTCTGTTTTGCTAAATTATCACCATTCTTTAAGACTCCTGGGTAGGCTAGGCCATCTTCGACTTACGATATTTTTGACTTATGATGGGGTTGTCGTAACGCATCTCCATCGAAAGTCGAGGACTACCTGTATTTTACGATGGCAACATGTTACAATTACACTAAAAGTTACAAACGGTTTAATAAGCTATCAAGTTTTACTAACCATTTTATAAATGCTCTGTGCCCTCCACCTGCTGTACGGACAACATCGAGAAGATAGTTAAATTAGTCCCAAACGCCTCTCTTCTCACGTTTTCCTCTGAGGTGCGTGGTTGCCCTGTGCTCTTACCCTTGCATAAATAGTCTGTGTCCTCAAATTGTCGCTACCAACGACGAATGCTCTTTGACATTGGTGGATCAAAACGCCGTTGAAATGCACGCTGCACCGCAATTACGGATTCAGTCTTGCTGAACTGCAGAACACAAAACGCCTTGTGTCACCATCTTGCGAAAGACTGAGGCTAAGGGCTGTTTGTGCGCTGGGAGAGGCATCTAGCGGTAATCATTTGAAACTCTATGCCCCGCCCACTTTATGCCCTGCCCTCTCTAAGCCCTGCCCTTTCAAGTGGTAAGAGTTTCATTCATGGGCGGTTTGTGGTTGCAGAGATATAGCCATTTCAAATCGGGTCCATCTTTTTGAAACACCCTGTATATTTGGTGGTTTTTGCTCTGATTTCTATTTGCCTCATTGTTGTGCTTTGTTTTTATGTTATTTCTTTTGTCATTTCGGTGACCCAGGTCAGTCACTCTTCAAATGAGACAATCGCAGTCTCTTGAGTCATCGCCTGGTTAAACAAACTTGAAACACTTGGCTGTGTCCCTTGTAGACCGAACACAAGGCCATCCTATTGGCAGCCCACCCGCACACACAGCCAGCGATGAACATCACGTCAACCGGAGCTGGTCGAGAGATGACACTCACGGGAGCCAGCCGGTGGAACCAGAAGGGGCAGCTGCCTGGGATGCAAGAGATCAAGGGCCGAGGTGGGAGAGAGGAGGGAGAGTGCTGACAGGAGAGGGTGAAGACCGAAGTCGGAGCAAGAAAGAAAACTGCAAGCAGCAGTGAGAGGCCTCCGAGTTTCCCACGCTCAGCAAAGTGAACACCATAGTGCTCAGCTTTACCAGCAGTATTACTCGTGTGCATAGTGTGTGTGTGATCAACAACGTCTTGTTTATATTTCTAGTGAATGTTCTGTGCAGCAAGTGCATTGAACCATCGCGAGCTGTGCCACAATTGGTCGCACCGTCCCTCGTGCCGGCGCTTGATTGGCACGGCAGTGTTACGTGTTCTGTGTTCAGTGGACCACACCTTTGCCAGTGTGTAAGTGTGGCGTGCGCGCATTTGACCAGCATTCCCATTGTGTGGACACCCGCACAGGGATGGCCAGTGTCTTATCTGTGATGTCAGTTTTTCTTGCCTTATTTTTTACGCTTCAATAGGATATTGTACCGATTGTAAAATAACGATGCCTTTTATTTTTAGACACCATAACAGCCAAAATATCATGCGCTTTTTTCAACGAGCTTGTGATCGGTGTTTTTTGTGTGTGTTCAGAAGCGAGTGTCAAGCAGAGGGGATGCATTTCTTGTGGTTGGGCTGTGTGGTGTGGAATCATTTTGGGATGGGTATCCCAATGCTGACATCGTAAATCAGTCATTAGCAGAGAGCACGTCAAAGCTTGGCGATACAGTATATAAGAGCAAACTCTTTATTTTATTTAACCTGGGAAGGACGCAGGAAACCGGGATGAATTGAATTTTCAAGAGTGACCTGGGCCACCAAAATGACAAGTAACAGCATAAAACACGAAGTACAGCAATGAAGCAAATATAAATTGGTGAAAAAAACAACCTTTACAGAAATTGAAAGTGCCAAAACATAAATCATTAAATTATTGAATGTATGCCATTGCACTTGATGATTCTCCTTTAAGGCCCAAACTAAGTCTATGGGCATTATTGTCAGGTAAGAGATTTAGTAATTCAACAAAAAAGCACTGGACTTTGAGAAGGCAGGAACTTCTCCACAGGCCAATACGAAGACGGCACTGCGTGCCACTTTTCACTGGAACGTGCATTAAAGTCCGCCATTCCTTTTTCGTGGCATGACCTCTATGTAGTATGCATGATGAACTTATTTCGCACCGTATGTAGCGAACTGCTAGTTGGACCTTTTTAATAGATATCGGTGTTTTACACAAGCTAGTTGTATATCCAAACTTGATATGAAGCTTTCGTGACTGCAGGAATTACTCTTTGGTTCTTCCGGTAAAGTCGCGTAGAAGGAAAAGAAATGAAATACTAGAATACGACATTTCGATTGCAACACAAGCAACCATCATCAAGTAGTTTTTTTTTTCTAAGTTTGTTTTCTCAAACGGCCTATTTCTCTCTCTAAAATTGTATTTAATTTATTTTCTTTCTACGTGACTTTACCAAAAGAACCAAAGAGTAATTCCTGCAGTCACGAAAGCTTCATATCAAGTTTGAACCACCTCTACGGGGAGGATGTACGTTTTTTTTTTCTCTCTTTCTGTCAAATTTCACACTTTAAATTTTAGCAATCTTTGGAGATCGTAATCAACCAGGCTATGCGTTAACTGTGTGCTAGCCGACTCTCTGTTGCATTGCATTACATTTCCCCAAAATTTGCTAAATTTAGTTTTCTCAAACTGCCTATTTCTCTCAAAAATGTACAAGACTCTCATAGGGTCATTCGATCTTTCTCTCCTGAGGTCGCTTCAGGGTGGATTCATTGACATACTAATTTCTCTGCTCCAGCAGCTGCCCCAGCAGACCCACCTCTCTCTGCCCCCCCCCCCCCTCTATTTAAGGCCTCGACACAGAGGCATTGGGTCTCTGTGTGTCTATGTTGTGTCTCTCTCTGCTTGTGTCTGTCTCCGTGTCTGTTTTGTCTCTCTCTCAAATTTAGTTCGACCTGATGACGGTTGCTTGTGTTGCAATCGAAACGTTTTATTCTTTTATTTATTTATTTTTCGTGACTTTTCCAAAAGAACCAAAGAGTAGTTGTATATCCCTTTATTACAGTTTTTATTCTGGTTTCTGAGTCCTTGGGTGCATTCTGAGTATTATTACACTGTGTGTGTCTGTCTTATCTCCATCCAGTAAACCCTTTATCCGTGAGTTCTGGATTCACGAGTTTTGCATTTTCGCGAGTTACTAAATGTCTACTAATTCTCTATTTGCGACCCGCTGGGACTCCAGTATTCGCGAGTGTATGTAGTGCCAGGCCACTGATACTTGGAGGTGCACACAGAATTTAACATTTCAAGCTCTGCAGAGATTAGGCACACCCCCCCCCCCCCCCACGGCTGCCCGTGTCGTCCTCTGTCTCGCAGTAATCCCACTCTGAACTCGGATTTTTACTTTATACTTAGTCGACTAATACATTTTGGTTTAAATGAGTCACCTGAGGTCCATTTTAAAAATAACACGAATTAAATCGGGGAAAGTGTTGCAGCTATAACACTCCCCAGTGCTAAAATGATGACTGTTAACAAATACATGCATCTCCCGAGGAGTCGTCCTGAGTTCCTCGCTATCACCTCCATCGTCATAAAATATCAAAAGTAATAAAAAACACATTGTTCTGTCTAATATATTATTTATTGTAGTACTTTTTATTAAACTTTTAGCATTTCTTCCCCCCCACCCCCCCCCCCCCCCCATATTCACTCGCATACCAGGAACGTAACCCCATTTTTCCCATTGGAACAAGTTTTCTGCATTCACGAGCGTTTTCAAGAACGCAACCTTTGTGGATAGAGGGTTTACTGTATATCTATCCCTTTGTATCTATCTCCTTATGGCTTTTGTCTAGTTTCTCTGTCTCCATATCTCTGCCTGTCCCTCTTATCTACTGATTTTTTTCCATGTTGCTCTGTATATCTATCTGCATCTCTCTATCTCTTTCCATGTCTTTGTCTCATGTATTTTTATAATCATATCAACTTGCTCCACTTGAACCCAGTATAATTGCGTGTGTCATGCATGTTTAAAATTTAAAATTTACAATCGGGCACCATAAACATGTATGCATGGCTGAGTTTGTGCATGTTTGTGTGCAAAAGTCTTGCATTTACTTGTCTGTGCGTCTGTATCCATATATGTAAATATGCCTGCGTGTGTGGGAATGTAATGTGTTATGACTTTCTGGTTTGGCAGCAGAGGTCTCCAAATCTTTTCATCAGCTGCATATCGCTTGGTGGAAGCTTCCCTGGCCTTTTTTTCAATACGAAGCTCCAGGTCTTCTCAGCTTATGTCCTTCTCTTCAAATGGATCTATGTTAGATCCATTTGAAGGAACATCTACACCAGTTTTAAAAAAAACATTTAGGCTGGCCTGCCTGAATGATCCATCCTCTGCTTTACCAGGCTGGATTGTGTGAGCTCGTAGATCTACGAAAGATCTGGGCAGTCCCATCGGTGAGCTGCTCCAGCAGACATGGCTGCGTTGGTTGTGACATGTAGTCTGCATGCCAAAGTATCTTCTGTTTGGCATTTATAAGAGGGGGCTAAACGGGCACGGTATTTGCTAGAGGAGAGATGGGCTGATGTGGTACAAGAGGCTAATATAGCCGAGTGGACTTGCCGATTACTTATGTAATGGTTCGAGAGAGGCTCGCACTGTTCTGGGAAGGCAACATTTTATTACTGAACACAACTCGTAACGATACACGTAGGGTGGTGACCACTGACCTATCCTCACTAACACTCGTTAACACTAACACACTGATAGCAACTGGCGTGGCCAAGCCAGGAGGGCTACTGCTTGGCCACGCTGACTGGAGGCTTGACTTCACTCTTCATGAGGCGTCTTCATCCCGGACTCGAGCAGCCTCGCACCAGGTGTGGAGGCCGCTTATATGCGCCACAGCGTGGCCGGGGTGCGGCCTGGCCACGCCCCCCTTCGAGAACCCTCGAGAAGGCTCTGCTTGTAGCCTCGTGGCCCCCAAGGTCCCCCTGGGGCTCCCGGCCCCCACCTTGATCCGGTCACGTGTCCGGTGATTAACCCGAACAAGCTGTGCCTCCCAACAAGCAACATGAATAAATAACGCGAGAAACATATGTATGCATTGGAAGAACCCCGGACGACAACACGATAACGGCAATAACACCAATCATACAACAACAAAATAACATCCAACCCTGAGGCACCCCGCACTAGCAACCCGATGACCACTAACGAACTGCTGCGGGGGAAGAAAAGCACGCACACAAGCAATAATAAAGACCCACAGAACAACTTGCAATGTGTGATAGTGTTATTTGAACCGTGTGGTCCATGAACGAGTGGGTGTGGCCCTGCCCCAACACCCTGGGAGGTCTGGGGTAAGCGTCATTGCAGGCGGGTGTTTGCGGCTGCCCCATCGGGGACTGCGGTGTGGATGGTGGGCGGTTGGTCGTCCGCATCCAGCGGAACGTGAGAAGCAGCCCCCGTCGGCACCGAGGGGATCACGAGCGCCGATCCTGCGGGCGGTACCACCTCTCGGCGTGCCCCCCATCTCGCCCGGCACACCAGACATATTCGGCCCTCAGGGATGGGAGATGAGTTAACACGACGGGGTTGCACAAACGGTTTCAGTCGCGACGGGTGTATAAACCAAGTCCAGCGGCAGAACCGAATCTTAACGCATTGAGGCCGGTCGGCCTGCACCACCTCGACCGGCCCTCGCAAGGGCTTGTACAGCTTAGGCGACATGCCAATAGGCACCTGTGGACAGTGCAGCCAAATCCTGTCACCAGGGACCCACTGCTTGCCCAATACACGACGACTGGATTCGCTGATGATGTGCCCGAGGTATCGTACTGATTTCTGCAACAAATGGCACTTTTGGGGTTTGAACTTGAGATTAGCCTGTCGCATTTTGAGAAAAACAGTGCACAGCCTGACAAGATGTTACTCAAACGTTCGATTGAATAAAAATAACGTCATCTAAATAGATCAGGCAGGAGTCCCACTGGAGTCCCGCCAAAACCAATTCCATTAACCTTTGTAAAGTAGCTGGGGCCGAATGTAAGCCCATCGGGAGTCTATTGAACTCGAACAACCCTTGCGGCGTCCGGAAAGCCATCTTAGGCCTGGAGCAATCGAGGGGCAACTGCCAGAACCCCAAAAGGAGGTCGAGCGTAGAGAAAAATTGTGCCCCCGCCAATGTGTCCAGTGAATCATCCATACGGGGCAGGGGATACACGTCCGCCACAGATCGCAATCAACGAGGCTATGCGTTAACTGTGTGTTAGCCGACTCTCTGTGTTGCATTACATTACATTTCCAAAAGATTTGCTACATTTTATTTTCTCAAACTATTTCTCTCTCTAAAATTCACCAGGCTCTCATAGGGCCATTCGATCTTCTTTCCTCGGTCGCTTCGGGGTGGATTCATTGACATTCTAATTTATCTGTCCCAGCAGCTACCCCAGCAGACCCACCTCTCTCTCTGCCCCCCCCTCTCTCTCTGTATTTAAGGCCTCGACACAGATGCATTGGGTCTCTGTGTCTATGTTGTGTCTCTCTCTGCTTGTGTGTCTGTGTGTCTCCGTGTCTGTGTTTTGTCTCTCTCTCAAATTTAGTTCTATCTGATGATGGTTGCTTGTGTTGCAATAGAAACGTCGTACTCTATTATTTAATTTATTTTCTTTCTACGTGACTTTACCGAAATAACCAAAGAGTAATTCCTCAATTAACGTGGTAGATGCGATTCTGAAAAGTGCCACGTTAAGCGAGGAATGACTGCTAATGAATAACATTTGCACTGAAAGCGGTTCGTCGACCGCGTTATAACGGGTGCGTGCAAAAAGTTATTTTAATAGAAGAATCGCGTTAAAGCGAAAACGCGTTGTGTAAGCGCCACGCGTAAAAAGCCAGGACTTGCCGAATGCACAAGAGGCGGCAGAGCGCACTGCGATTTGAGCCGAGTGAGGGACACGTGGCCAATTGGGGGTCCTTCTCTCTCAGCGACTCTCAGCTCCCCCCCCCCAATTCCTTGTGCCCCCCCCCCCCCCACTGCGCCCCCCCCACCACCCCCACCCTTCTCTCAGCGCCCCCCCCCCCCACTTCCACCCTTCTCTCAGCGCCCCCCCCCCCCCACTTCCACCCTTCTCTCTGCGCCCCCCCCCGTCTCCTCATTCCGCGATGCCGCCGCGCAGGAAGCTTCAGCCTCAGTCGCGGCCGAGCGCGAAGCGCGGCCGCCGGGGGAGCGCGGGGCGAGCCCGAGCCCAGGAGCTGCACGGGGAGTCCGGGGAGGATGCGGGGGAGGAGGAGACCCACAACGCGGCCCCGGAGACGCCGTTCGGGCCCCGGGAGACGGTGGTAAGAACGACGCGGAGTCGGGCGCCGATTGAGGTCGGGACGGTGCTCACGAGGAGTGATCGGCACCGCTCCCGACTCCCCAGCGCTGATGTCGACTCGCCCCGGGCGAGGCCTGGAAGGCCGCGGCGAGGCCCTCGGCGAGGCCGCGTGCCGCTCTCGCTCCGCCGCGGACCTCGCTCCCGCTGGACTGCGTTGCCAGGCAAGGCCGAGGCTCCGCGGCGGGCCTGAGCTTTGTGTGCCCAACTCTTAGCTCGGTCAATTTTTATTGTATTCATTCATTAGCAGTTTGACTGATTCACTACGGAAATCATTTCGCGATGCCATTCACGCCTTTGATGACGCGTTTCATTCATTACATTAAAGTATTGTATTAACTTTAGAAACACGTACAGGCTTTGAATGAAACATTCACGACAGGAAATGGACATTGATGAGAGAGAACACGCAGGTTGCGGACATCATCCGAGCTGTTAGCAGAAGTGAGGGAGCTGGAGCAGCGCCGGTCACGGACGCGATGTTTAGGAACAACACTTGAGTGGCAGCCAAGGAACTCGACGCGTCCAGGAGGAAACCCGCCGAGGAGATGGAGCCATGAAATCCATCCAGGTGCAGCTGCTGCGCAGGTTGTTGTATGACAGGAGGATCGTGAAAGTTGGAGGCTTGGAGATGTGTGTTGAACTTCTTTCGCACCGTATGTAGCCAACCGTGCTAACCCAAGGTGCGGGAAGGCTTCACCCAGCAGCGGATTGGATCATGGCTGATGATTCATTGGTTCAGACGGCAAATACTTTACTGACGTTCTGGTTATAAGTGCTTGATGGGATGGAATCCGTCACGTCTGTCTTAATGCGAATAAAATGTACGTATAAAATATATTTTTTAAAATGTATTTCACAAAATAAAGAATCGTATATTGGTTTCCTGTTCGAACATGGATAGTTTCCTTGCTATACATTTTACAAAGATGAAAAATAACAATGTTTTACCCTTTCTGGCAATATAGCAGGTGTTAAGATGTTCAGACACCACATGGCATTTCCTCACCAGTGTTAGACCAGAGAATGCCGGAAGGCGCACAGTAACAAAGCCAATGCAAGTATCAGAACACTTATGGCTCTTAACACTGATGAGACAAGGCCATAAAGAAGGCTGTCTCTGGTGTAGACCAATCAGTTTCAAAGACAATGCGTACATCAGATAATGGTTGCATGTTTTGCCACAAGCATGTGTGGTTAATGCAGAATTGATGCCTTGCAAAGGGTATCTTTGGTGTTTGAACATCTTAACAGCTGTTTATTGCCAGAAAGGGTAACACCTATTCTTATTTTTCATCATTATTTGGATGCTGGCAATGAGGTCCCATAAATATTTTACAAGGAACTTTCATTCAAACAAACGGTGATTCAAGTGTTTCATTAAAAAAGTGAATCTGGAAACCTGCTAATGGATTGGTCAAGTTGATAAACAGGACTGCTTAGTCTCGTCCACACACTTTGAATTTCTAATTCGCTCCCATTGTCTCTTTCCAAAGCTTTTATGACCTTATTCAATTCAAGAAACCTGTCAACTCTTTTCTATTACAACTTTGAGAGTGCTATTTATTATTGGGTGCTTGACGTTTTGGGGTTGTGGGCCTGTGCTCATCAACTGTGTTTTAAAAACAAAATAAGTATAACCCGTAAAAACAAAGTTTTTCACTATAAATCCTTTATATGCGTGGCGGCTAGAGTCCTCTCGTCCTCTGGCTTGAGATGGCTGCCACCTATGGGTCAGATGATTGCATTGCACCATTAAGCAATTGGTAATTAAATATAATATTTTTGTCCTAAAAAGTGTAAAAAATGTAAAAAAAAAATTCACGAACATTAATTGTCACGCACAACGAGTCTGTGTGGAAAATGTCAGCTCGATTGGATCACGGGAAGTGGGTTAAAAAACGACCGAAAGATTTGCACGGTCCTAAGCAAGCAAGCGAACTTAATATAAAGGATTTAAAAAGGACCAAGCCACGTTGTGTTCCAGCTGCTGAAAGGGGCTCAAGTGTCCGGGCAGCTGCTGATCTGCGGAGCGACCAATTGGGACCTGATTGGCCGCAAGGATGTGCCCAAACAACATGGTAAGCAGTGTCTCAGACCGCCTGTGGTGCGCTATGCCATTTGCCCCTTTCCGCTTTTCCCCATTCGCTGCTTTATTTCTCTGGGTTGGCTGTGTCTCCTGTGTTCCCATCTTGTGTGTTAAGTGTTTGCAATGTCTCTGGACCCACGGGCCATTGCTAACCCTCCAAAAAACTCGCGAAATCACCATGCAGCAAAACATTTGGTTTTATGAGCAAAATCGTATCTGCAAGGGTTCCCACCTTGCCTACAGTATATGGAACACAGATTGGGAATTTGTGATCTAGACATGGTAGAATTTACTTTAAGAACTACATACATGAATTTCCTATCACACATATTACATTGTTTATGAAGATTGTTGGGAACAAAATAACAAAACCTTCATCTGTCAACCAAGCAAGTAAGCAGGGTTAAGGAAAGTCTGCTCTACCATTTTCCTCATCCCCCCACCACCCTAACATTGTTCTTCACAATGTGAAGTGTCTTGAGATGCAGTCGTATGAAGACGTTCTATACATTGAAGTTGTTGTTGTTTCACCGCAGTTGCCTACAAGAACCTGGGAGTTTCCCTGTGGGGGCCGCACCGCTACGGCTGTCTGGCCAAGGTGCATGTGAGCAGTGTGGTGTCGGGCCCAACGGCCTGCCACTGTCTGCTTCTCACCGATCTCGGGCAGGTCTACACATGGGGTTCGTAAGAGAGGGCGTCTGAGTGTGAGAGATTTGTTTTTGCTGTTTGTCATTGAGGTGAATTTGTGTAAGAAGGAGAGGGTATGTGGGGTAGTGTAGCGGTTTTCACATTTTTCTATGAACCCTTCAACACCAGTTTGATTCCCGCTCATGGCCAACACCAATGACGATTATCTGAACTGTTCCTTGGCCTCCCTAGGTCGACTCAACCTCAAATGAGTACATTGTACAATGTGTAAACATCGCCAGTCAAGAGACAAAGATGGCCGGGCGTGTTGTTGGCCACCCAACCCCATGTGTGTCATGCCAGCCCTCATAGGTGTTCACTAACAACATTTGCCCCAAAAATCTGTTAAGGCTATCTTTTGGCATGTGGTCTGGTTTGGCAGTGGAGTTCACACTCTTAAATCAGTTAAGCAGCATTATCATGTCATTTTCTGTGTAATGTTGTGACAATTACCTGGCCTGTCACTCCATACGAAGCTCTGGGTCTTCTTTGTCACATGCCATGTTTTATCTAGGCTTGTGAAACATGAACCCCTTTACAGGGTCACCTGCGCAAGTTTGAAACACTGGCGGCCTGTTTACAATCCATCTTGGTTTTACCTAGGCTGGATTGTCAGGCATTTGCAGATACTCGAAAGATCTGGACACATTGGGATCCCAGGTGGTACATCTGCCAGTCACCGTATTACATTAACCCGAAACTTATTGGTATATTTCATGACCTGTCTGCAAGATCTTAACATTTGAAGTTTGAAAAAAGTGTGGTGGTGATGTTACCACCACTTGGTGGTGAATGGCTGCTGCTGTTTATCGAGAGAGTAAGGGGGAGAGAATGTGCTTGAAAGGTTTACTTTCTATGATGGTGAGCAAGGGTGGCAGTACGGTACAGTATAAAAAAATATTGTACCATATTATCATCCTGTACTTAACCAAAAAATGCCACACTACCATAATCACGTAGGTAGAAATAAAATAAATCGCGACGTTTCGGGCGCAACACAAGCGTCCATCATCAGGTGGGAAAGCATAGTCTTCTGCTGAAGCAGACTGTTTTAAAAGGTTTGAAATGGGTGTAGCTCAAGGGTCATAAAGAAGTGGCCGGGGCTAGTGATGTTAATGTGAGAAATTAGCATGTAACTGTAAGATAGGAGAGCGGCCTCTGCGACGAGGGCACGGAAGTGGCTATGTTAATGTGAGGGATTATCATGATGTTAATGTGAGAAATTAGAGGGCACGGAAGTGGCTATATTAATGTGAGAGATTACTATGATATTGTGAGAAATTAGCATGTAACTGTAGAAAAGAAGGAGAAGAAGAGTGTCCTCCTCGACGAGGGAGTGCAACCCAACGGGTGTAATACGGAAATCTTTTTGGTAACCCCTGCTATGTACGGTAAAGTGATGGTTTTGGTTGGATCCTTAGGAGGTTGTCTCCGCATGACTGGGGAGACAGCTTGGCGGATTGTACGGTCCGAGTATCCGTTCATCCTGAGGACTTGGTGTACCTGCTCCAACTCACTGGCTAGGTGGTTGGTGCTGGTTGGAGATGCAACGGGCCCTATGGTGTAGTGTTTTGATGAGGGAATTCTTCTGGGCTGGATGGTGGTGGGAGTCAGGCTTTAGATAGGCAATCCGTGTGGGTGGCTTTCCTGTAGATGCGAATGTCCCAACGAGCCATCAGGTCTCTTCTCGATCAAACATCCAGGAATGGTAGCTTGCCATCCTTTTCCACTTCCATGGTGAATTTGATAGATGGGTGTATGGAATTGATGTGTTTGAGAAATTGGTTCAGTGCTGGCAGGCCATGTGGCCAGATGACAAACGTGTCATCTATGTATCTCTTCTACATGGAAGAACGTAGGGTGGATGTCTGGATGGCATCTGTCTCAAAATTTTCCATGAAATCATTCGCGACCACTGGCGATAAGGGATAACCCATTGGGGTACCCTCATTTTGTCTGTAGAATGTACCATTCCAGGTGAAGTATGTGTTGGTAAGACAGTGCCTTACCAAAGTTGGTACATCTGGATTCAGTCCTTGTTGGACCAGGTCTTCAATGATTGCAATGGTGTCAAGTACAGGTACATTGGTGAACAGAGAGACTACATCGAAACTATAGTAATAGGTTTTTACCCTTTCAACTGGTACAAAAACTGACACCTTATACAAGGCATCATGTTTGCAATAACCACAACACAAGCAGTCAAAATGCAAACAAAAAGAAACAACTCTGGTGATGATAATGATATGCACTGTCCTTGAAGTTGATTGGTCCACACCCGAGACAGCTTTTCTTAGAGCCTAGTCTCCATTGGCGTTGGACCAGATGACGCCAAAAGGCGTACAACTCAAAGACAGCGCATTATCAGAGTTTTGAGAGCTCAGGGTAAGCATTTACACTATAAGACCTCCTTTACCAGTGGCAAAATATAGTAATAGGTTTTTACCCTTTCAACTGGTACAAAAACTGACACCTTTATACAAGGCATCATGTTTGCAATAACCACAACACAAGCAGTCAAATGCAAACAAAAAGAAACAACTCAATGATGATAATGATATGCAATGTCGTTGAAGTTGATTGGTCCACACCCGAGACAGCTTTTCTTAGAACCTAGTCTCCATTGGTGTTGGACCAGATGACGCCAAAAGGCGTACAACTCAAAGACAGCGCACTATCAGAGTATTGAGAGCTCGGTAAGCATTTACACTATGAGACCTCCTTTACCAGTTGAAAGGGTAAAAACCTATTACTATATTTTGCCACTGGTAAAGGAGGTCTTATAGTGTACATCGAAACTGACAAGCAAATTATCCAGAGAGAGTGAGATGTCCTTGATTAGAGAAACCAAGTGAGCTGAGTTAAGTACAGCTTAGGTCAGGGGTCGGCAACCTACGGCTCCGGAGCCGCATGCGGTTCTTTAACGGGCTGCTTCTTGACGATATGTACGTATGTACAGTATGTACTCAGATGCATTGCGGCTCTTGAAATACTGAATTTTGTACCGAATTGGAAAGAAATGGCTCTTCTTGTTATTTTGGTTGCCGACCCCTGGCTTAGGTGGACTTACCAGTGAAAGGAAGCAGAGTCTCAGACAGAAATCGGACCAGTTTGTAGGTGGGTTAGTTAATCGTGGAGACGATAGGACGGAGCGGGGTACCTACTTTGTGGATTTTTGGAAGGCCATAAAATCTGGGTGGTCTAGCAGCTGAATGTTTTAGGGAGCTCTACTTTGTCTGATCGATTAGAGAAGTTGATTTAGTGATTATATTATTGGTTTTAGTAGCTAGGCAGTTGATTGTGAGAGGTTATTAATGCTACAAACATGCGTATTTACGAGCAGAGGTGTGGAGGAGGATGGTGGTCGTTGATGCTGTGTTGCGTTTTCTAGCCGAGGAGATAAAGGCCAGCTGGGGCACGGGGACTGAAGCGCGTGGAGGCCCCGCGGCCTGTGGACGCGCTCTTCAAGTTCACGGTCGTGGCGGCAGCGTGTGGGCGGAGCCACACTCTCTGCATTACCGGTCAGCAGTCGGCGCATGCCACAGCCATAGCCCTGACAAGTCTCATTCATGTCGTTCCACATTCGTACGTGATTTCACAAGCCTAGGCACCTTTTGTCGGTGTCAATTCAAGTTCCTCATCATTGTCCATGATCTATCCAATGCTGAATGAAGACCTCTCCAAGCAGTTGACATTTCTCATAATCTTAAAATGCCACAGTTCATCTTGCTTTTGCAAAATAACTGAATTCAATGGTCTATCGCTGCGGTGGACGTCGTCTTGCCGAGTAAATATATTGTTAGTGACTTTTGTTTTGCTATTTATCTTAAGCCCAACTTACCAACCTTCCTCATTAACGAGAACCCATATCTAACAGAGGCCGTTATCTATAAACACGGGACATTTTACCAGCATTGTCTTATGCAAGCCTGACGATGTTGATGACACACTGAATGTCAAAACCAGTCCAGCGTTTACTTGTATTCAACCAATGCTGCTGAAGAAATCACTCCCAGATGGCCGTGCGGTCAAGTTTATTTTGTTTAACGAGGTCAAGAGTGACCTGGGGAATTTCATCTGTCAGTAGAGGCTATGATTGTTGTGTATTTCAATTAAGTAATTTTTGTATTTGGAAAATTTAGACTGATGCCTGCACACAACAGCTTACTCTTGCAAATTGCATTGGAGGATCTTTATAGTGCACTGTGAAGCAGATGGTGCGTAATAATGTTTGTTACACCCGCAATAATAGCCAGGGCAGGCGCCTGATTCGAACCATAGACCAACAATTGAAAATGCGCTGCCTCTAGAGAGACAGATATGGGTAGGAGGGCTGTTGTCTGCTTATTTATTTTTAGAGTAGAGTTGGAGTAGCCATGCCGACGCACAAGATACTGTTTTGCGAGACTGGGGTGGTGCTGGCGTTTGGAGAAAATCACCTGGACAGCTGGGGCTCGGCACAAAGAGTAACGCCATGCCAACGCCCAAGCAGGTAGAACAGTTTGGGCCTCGCGTTGTATCATTTCCCCAATTTACATGCATTCTCATGTTTACGATATGGGCATTGAATCATGCGTGTGAGGATCAATATTTCAATGTGTTGTATGTAATGGGTTCATGTGACCCCTTCAGTCACTTAAAGTGCTATCATTCACCAATATTAAGTGAAAAGCAAGAAGGGGAATGGTAACTTCTCTATAGCATAGTGCCATACACGTGTACCACACCGTACATGATTATTGTTACACCCGTTATCCAGGAAAACCTCAATACTATTTCAGGAGGGTTCTGCCAAGTTTTCACAGTTGGCGATGACTATTGCTGCGCCAGAACACAATGGCTGATTCTTTTAATTACATCAGAGAATCTTTAACGTCCTCTGTAAAGTAGATGTCACATCGTATATTATGGTTAATTTAACTGGAGTTTGTTGAACACGTAGGATTTCACAACCAATATCCAAAATAATGTTTTTTGGTTTAGATTGCGTAAATATAAATGTGTCGTCAAACCCGCCACCACCCAACGCAGCCAATTAGTAAGATTTGTTACGTAAACAAAACGTGTCAATTAGTACTTCAGCACACCGCTTGTGTGTTGGAGAGTAAACACAGAGCATTTACAATTCGAGTACGACGCTTCGCTGGTGATTACAACAGCTTC